CCCCAAAACCCCAAAACCCCAAAACCCCAAAACCCCATTACTAAATCCCATTGTCATATAATTTTATTTGGAGAAAAGATGAATAAATTTGAGGAACTTTTGGAAAGATTTAATGGTCTCTTAAATAGATTCGAAGGGAATTCAGGTAGTGCTACTACTACTAGTGCTTCAGGAGGTGGTCAAGCAACCACTAGTGAAACTGCAAAATCTACAGTTGCTAAACCTACTAGGCTTCACAAGGCAGTCAAAGGATTTGACTCTGTTATAAATGAGAAGATGGCTGAATTCTTGACACTTGCAGAGAAGCACAGCAACAAGAAGATCTTGGAAGCATCCCAAGTTATCAAAGAGATGTTCGACCTGATTAGAAATATCATTCAAGCAGTTACTATGAGCAAGGGAACCAAAGCAGAAGTGATGGGTGAATTAGTCACTCCTTATAGCAAATCTTTGGACAAGAAGCTTGGCAAGTTCTTAAGAGATCCTGATATCAAGAACCATGTTAAGGCACTAATTGATAGTCTTCAGCTTATCCAGTTACCTCTCATGCATGATCCTCATGATATGGGCAAGGAGTTCTTAGCCCAAATTGACTTTTTCGGAAATAAAGTGTTGATGATGAGAGTTGAACAAGAAACTAAATGGTATGAGGAATAAAATCTTTGTATCCAATAACTTCTATTTAGATTTACTTTCCTTTTCACAATGTTAAATTGCTCTAGGCTGATATAATATGTCATATAGGTATAATGCATTCAAAATCGGCTTGTGCACAACCTTCTTTGATTATATCGTAGATGCTTACGAGAATGGGCTTCCCTTCAGCAGAGAAGGAAGCGATTTCAAGGATATTTTCCAGAATCTCCAATCAGGAGGATCTCCAGCTCCTGTTGAAGAGGAGAAGAAGGAAGAGGTTAAAAAGGCAAAACCTTCTAAGAAGTCTGGAGCTAAGGAAGACAAGCCTAAGCCAAAGCGTGAGCCCAAGAAGGTCAAGATTGGTAAAGTCTGGGATATCTCATACTATGAAAACGAGACTTTTGAGTATAAGGAGGGAGAATTAGATATGACTGAATCCCTTGTGGTCAGTGTATGCAATAATTCTAATGTTATCACCCATGGAAAGATCAAGAGCGTGATCCTAAATAACTGCACAAACTGTGCGGTTGTAGTGGATACCATTGTCTCTTCAATTGAGTGCATGAATTGAAAGGATATTAAGATTCAGATCAATGGAAAAGGTTCTCTTGTTGCTTTAGAAAGATCCAACAATACTGAAATTTATTTGAATGAAGAATCTATGAATGTCAAGGTCAACACTACTCACTGCCAGAATACAGGTAATATGATTCCCAGAGGATCCTGACACAGTCAACATCAATACATCTTTCTCAAGAGTTATCTCAATAGTGACTCTGATAATTTTTTTTCAATACAGCTTTTTTTTAGGTTCTAGAATCTTAGCCATATTTACTTCTTCATCATTGCTATATTTTTCTTGCTTTGGATGTCTTCACTAAGGCATTCCTCTTCAGTATCTAATATTCGATATAGGTTTGAACTTCCCAACAGAAGAGCCAGATGAGCTTGGTAATGACCAGGCTGCTTTGCCAGTTCCAGAAACTTACTGCACAACTATTAAGAATGGCGAACTGGTAACCGAAATGGTTATCCTTGATTAAGATTTACCTCAAAATGTTCAACCAATTCTTTGCAAAACGGGGTTTTGGGGTTTTGGGGTTTTGGGGTTTTGGGGTTTTGGGGTTTTGGGG